CTTGTGTTTTTCTTTTGGGGTCTATTCTGTTTGGAGTTTGTTCAACTTCTTGAATGAGTCTTTGTGTGTTTCATGATGCTATGTAACTTTACTTCCAACAATTCTTTGACAATTTTCTCTGTGGCTTTTTGTGTCTCTTCTTATTCTGGATTCCTGTTATTCCTGTTGACAATCTCATATAATCTTATGCTTTCTTTGGATTTTTCTGTTCTTTCTGATTGCTCCTCTAGCAGATGAATATTTAAAGATTTATGTTCAAGCTCACCAATTCAGCCTTCCAATGATTTAATTTTACTTCCCTACCTCCTCAACCACCACTATATCATCTATTTCTGAAATCTTATATTAATCTTCTAGATTTCTATTTGCTGCTTTTTGCATGGTTTCTAATTTTTCATTTATCTATATTAGTTTGTTCTTGTAATGTTTTCCTGTATTCTTCTAAAATTTTTCTGATTTCCTTGCTTTCATCTGAAGTTTTCTCAACCATTCTATCTGTTGAAGGTACCTAAATATCATTCTTTTGAATTCTTTATCAGGTAGTTCTGATATCATTTCTGGTATTATATTTTCTAACTCTGTATTTTGGTCACTTCATTAAACCACTCTTGTCTTGTTTCTTCATGTTACCTAACATTGTATGTTTTCTCCTAGCACTGTGGTATTTACATTTTTTGTTGGTGTGTTCTCAGGCACTCACCACCTGTCTCCCAGTGTATGTGTTAGAGACTAGAAGAATGAATGCCATTCTCTCTTTACTGTTTGTGTAAGGTAGTGCAGGACAGGTTTGTTTGATGTTGGCTGTCAATTATTGTTGATTAGGTGGTATACGAATGGGTTGTGGTTCTTGCCTAATGTGTGAGACATGGATGTGGCTGGGTCAAATGGAAACAAATGCGTTCTCCCTAAAACTGACAACAGCAATAAAAGAACTAATGAGGTGAAATCCACTAACCTATAGAAGTGTGGGTGGGTATGCCTAGTGTGTGACCCCAAATAGAGCAGAGGTGCAGCAGGTAGTGCCACTGGCCTCCAGGCAGGTAAGGGTGGGGGCTTACCAAGTCCCGGGCCAACAGGAGGACAAAGGGAAGAAGGCAGAATCATAAACCCCTCACTGCAAAACTCCAACATGAGTCCTATTCCTTCACACTGCTGTAATGATTGACAGCCACCAACAAAACATCAAGATGGCATAGCCAAGCCAGGACAGCCAACAGCCCATCTCTCTCTTCTCTCATTGTTCCAGTAAGCACTCAATCCACCTCTCTATCCTTTCCTCTGACGTTCAGAGTTCCATAATCACCATTCATATACATTTTACTTGGTCTCTGATGGCCTTGTTGCAGAGGGTATGCTCAGTACATTTGCCTATTCTGCCAACTTGCCCCAAAAGTACCTTTTTTATAAGGATGTATATTGTGTAAAAAATACCAGAAACCAGTGACTGACAACTTTACTAGTGATCAAATCAAGAAGCAGCTGAAAAATACATGGCCAACAAAATGGGATACAAAAGTATGGATTTTAAAAAATCATTTTATAAACTGCAATGCATTTGAAAAAATAACTTTTTAAGCTAAATTAAAAACAAAAGCTAAAAAGCAGTCATTTACCTTAAGTTTGGGATATATGTGGCGCAAAGAATCTGCAGTTCCTTTGTCAGTCTCATCAGGAATACATACGATATCTGCCTTCATTTTCATATTTAATTCTGCAGAAAGAGCCTTTTGGACATCTCTGGTTGTAACCACAATGACTTCTATAGCACAAAAGAAAAAAAGAAAAAAAACTCTCATTCATTTAAACAATATTTTCACTATTTCAATTAGATTTGGTCTATTTATGAGTGTAATAATGATAGGTGCTACAGGATAAATAGAGTCCTGGTGTGGCACTGTAGGATAAGCAGTTGACCACAGGTCGGTTTGAACCTCAAGGTCGGTGGTTCAAATTCACCAGTCTCTCCTCAGAAATCCTATACAAGGTCACTATGAATCAGAACAGATTTGACAGCACTTAACAACAACATAGGATAAGCACTGGACTGCTAACTGCAAGCTTAGCAGTTCAAACCCACTACCACTCCTTGGAAACCCTACAACAGGATCGCTATGACTTGCAACTAACATAATGGCACTTTACAACAATATTATTTAGCCTTTTAAATATGCTTTGCATGAATTCACATGCATTCTTGGGAGGATCAATGTGATGCTGCAGGATCAATACTGTACTGCTAATCACTAGGTCAGTGGTTCAATCCTACCAGCTGCTCCTCAGAAACCCTATACAGGATCACTAAGAGTCAGTATTTAACAACAACATGCATTCTTTTACTTCATTCGTTCAACTATCTCATTTTACAAATGAGGAAACTTGAAGTAAGACATTAACTGTCTTTGTTCAGGGTCACACAATTAGTAAGCAATGGAGTCAAGATTAAACTTAGTTAAGACTAAAATCCCATATTTTAAAAGATTCAGAAGAGCATTCAACAAAACATGAAAATGAGATCTCATTTTAACCCTTCATTCAACACAAAGAAAGATCTATCACCACTTTCCAAGCAATTGGTGATTTACTGATGATCACAATGAAACCAAGTAAGAGGCAACTTCCACATCACCTCATCCATGGAGCTATCAATCAAAGACAAAAACTTGGGATTCTGTCTAGGACCTTTAGTTGTTGTTGTTGTTAAGTGCTGTCGAGTCGGATCCGACCCATAGCAACCCTATACAGGATTTCGGAAGAGCGACTGGTGAGCTTGAACCGCCGACCTTGCAGTTCAAACGGCTTTGCAACCTGGCACATTAACCCACAGTGCCATACCAGGACTCCAGGACCTTTAGTAGGATAATGTAAATCACTTTAACAAGACGTGTCGATGTCTAAAGATTTGATTTTAGCAACTCTTCAACAATTTTCACTTATCCCATGATGACACTTAAGGTCACAATTACTCCTTGCTTTCATTTTCTTTCCTTTTCTTATTTTTTCCTGGTCTCCAGCTAACTTTATTTTAGTCAACTCACTCACTCACTCATTCATCTCACAAATACAAATGTATTTAATGTATACAGGGTAAGTAGACACTGAGAGTATTTTCAACCATTTCATATGTATGTGAAAGCTGGACAACAAGATTGGAGAAAAATTGATGCCTTTGAACTATGGTGTTGTCAAAGAATACTGAATACCATGGACAGCCATAAGAAAAATAAATATGTCTTGAAAGAAGTACAGCCTGAATGCTCCTTAGAACTGAGGATAGCAAGACTTTGTCTCATGTACTTTGAACTTGTTATCAGGAGGGACCAGTCCAAGAAAAAGGACATTAAGCTTGGTAAAGTAGATGGTCATCAAGAAAGAGGAAGACCTGCAACAAGGTGGATTGACACAGTGGCTAAAAGAATGGGTTCAAACAACTGTGAGGATGGCACAGGACCAGACTGTGTTTCATTCTTATGGGCAGAGGACCTCTATGAGTTGGAGCTGATTTGACAGCACTTAACAATAATAGACACTTGAGAATTAAGAAATAAATGAACTTGACTTGGTTCCTATTCTCAAGAAACAACATGGAGAAATGAGAAAGAATGATCTATGAGGCAGACCATAATGAATTCAAGTCCAATATAAATTTCTTTTAGAACTTACTGTATATAAAATGCTGACATTACAAAGATGAATCAGACATAGAACCTGATTACAGAGCTCCCCATACCACCAATTACAATATAAAGCATGAACTGAGAAGTGTTAAGATAGAAAGAAAAAGTATGATGGAGGCATAAAAAGATAGGGCAATTAATGTTTGAAAGATTTCAAACAGAAAGCGAAATTTCCATGGATTAGAAATGACATTTTAGGTAGCGTACATAGCGTGAAGGGAGTAAATGCAAATACAGGGACAGTCTAGTAGACTGGACTAAGACTCTTTTGTGTAGAAAGAGTCAAAGGCTGAGCAGGTTATGTTAATTTCTCTAAATCTGTGGGCAATATGAACACAGTGAACACACGCTTTAGCTCCAGAATTCTGTTTAGGGGGCACTCCCCAAATTCTGAGTGAGTTTCAGTAATAAGGAACTTCCCATGTTGTTATTTAAGTGCCATGGAATTGGTTTCAAATCAGAGCAACCCTTGTACAGGGTTTGCAAGAACAGTTGATAGGTTTGAACCACCAACCTTGTGGTTGGTTAGCAGTCCTACAGGGCCACATCACAACCTCAATACTATAGAACACCTCAAACTCAAAATGGACTAAATTAAACTTATTATCATCCTTCTAATCTGTTTCTTCTCTCATATTCCCTTTTCCTAGTTAATGGTAATACCATCTACCTAGTCACTCAAGCTAAAAGTAGAGAGAACTCTTCTCTCTTTTTCACCCTGTCTCTATTAATTGTCCACTCTCAAATCAGTTCTCTTCTCTACCCTTGGTGCTACTGTATTAGTTTAAGCCCTCTTCAATGCTGGCATTGACTTTTATAATGAACTCCTAACTCATTTCTTCTTGGCTTCCTCACATCCATCCCTGATATAATTTACAGAGGAATTTTTAAAATGCAAATCTAAAAAATAAATTTTAAAAATGCAAATCTAAGTTATCAAATTTACTAAAATGAAGTTGTTCATAATATTCCCTTATCCTCTTAGTGTCTCCAGAATCCATATTGGCCCTTCTAAGATCACGATATTAGTAATTTGTGTATTCCTTTTTTCCTGAGCAGTCTACCTAGAGATTTAACAGCTTTTTTTCCCTCAGTGAACCAACTTTTGGTTTTATTAATTTTCTCTAATGGTTTGATTTTGTTTTCTATTTATTTCTCTTATCTTTTTTTCCTCCTTTCTATTTATTTTGGATTTTGCTTACTCTTCCTTTTTTGAGTGTCTCAAAGTAGATGTTTAGATCACTATTTGAGACATTTCTTCTTTTCCAATATAAGTGCTTAATGCTATAAATTTCTTCTATGTTTTCATTATATCCTTCAAATTTTAATATGCTTCATTTTAGTAAGCTCAAAGCATTTTCTAACTTCCCTTATATTTATTCTTTGGCCAGTGGGTTGTATAGAAGTAAGTGGTTTAATTTCCAAATATCTAGGAATTCTCTTGAAATCTTTCAGCTATTGATTTCTGATTTCATTGTAGTCAGAGAATATACTTTGCATGATTTTAATTCTTATCAATCTATAGAGGTATGCTTTATTTCCAAGAACATAGTTTATCTTGGAATAAGTTCTGAGCACTGGAGTGTATGATTTGTTGAATGTAAAACTGATGCTCTCCTATGTAAACCTTTACTCAGTTCACAAGAAAAAGCTAAAAAAAAGTTTTGAGCTTTTGAAAAGAATGCATATTCTGCTTTATTACATGAGAAGTTCAAAATTGCATAAAATTCTAAGGAAGCTATAAAACACTACTAGAATTAACAAGTGAAATTAACAAAGTTGCAAGATATAAGATCAATATAAAAAATCAATTGTATTTTTGTATAAAAACAACAAACAAATAGAAATTGGATTAAAAATATAACATTTACAATACCATCAAAAAATTAGCTAATTAGAGATAAATTTAGTAAAATATGTACATGCTTGACACACTGAAAACTATAAAATTACAGAAATTAAAAAGGTTAACATAATGGAGAGATATACCAATACTCATGGATCAGAAAACTAAACATTATTAAGATGTGAATTTTCATATGATCTATTTTCAATGTAATACCAATCAAAATCCCAGCACCCTCTTTATAGAAACTGATAGATTCTAAAATATATATAAATGAAAGGACTTAGAATAGGTAAAAATACAAATCTAATCTTTTAACACTTTTGTTTAAACCTTTAACTAATTTCCCAATGCTTTCCATGAAAAAAAAAAATTCCTCAGTATGAAATCCAAGATCCTTAATAATAATAACCCCAGTCTATCTCTCTTGCTATATACACTCCTCCCTCTTATACTTTATATTACAGCCATATAGAATGAATGACTGCCAGAACATGATATGCTGATCATTCACCTATATCTCTGCATTACTTCTACATGAAATGCTCTTTCCATACTGATCAATTTGGTAATCTCTTTCTCAAGATTCAGTTCAAGGGTCAGTTACACTGTGAAACTTTCCCTCAGTCCCTCAGATAGTAACAGCAACTTCCTCTATGGTCTCTATATTTCCCCCAAGCAGTTATAATGTCCCTCTGTTATGACATTTATCACATTAAATAGGAGCCATGTTTGGACCCTGGTGGTGCAATGGTTAAGCACTCAGTTGCTAACTGAAAGGCCAACAATTTGAATCCATTAGTTGCTCGGAAGGAAAAAAACCCTAGCAAAACTTATGAGACAATTCTATGATATCCTATAGGGTTGTTATTATTTGGAATCATATCAACAGCACACACATTAGTATGTCTAGCTCCCCATTAGATTTTAAAGTTCAAGAATCCAGAGCCTTAGCTATCTCTTCAATTATAAACCCCAGTGTTTAAAAAGTATTATTATATGCAAGCTAAGCCCTACAATGTTCAATAGATTCCTATGAACCCAGGTGGAGACCTGGTTGGCCAGCAGTGTGGCAAGACCTGGGGACTCTTGGGTCCAGAGTCAGTGACATAGCCACAGAGTACTAGAATAGAGAGTGAAGCGTCCAGCTGATAAGAAGAGAGGGCATATGCATAAGAACATCCACATTTGCAGATAATACCCATTTATCCTGGCTTCAGTGACTGGATGATCACAGCTCAACTAGAAGAAGAAAGAAGAGGAAAAAAAGAGCAATCTGATACAATTTGATGACTTGACCTACACCTATGGATGCAGTAGCTCAAAAAAGGGAACAAATCTTTACAGCAAGAATCATTCCCACTCCCTCCATACACAGAGTAGACAGGGACAGGCAACTTGGACATTGGCTACCCAAAATGGGGGGTGGGGAAGGGCTACAAAGGCAA